CAAGAACGATGAGGAGCTACTGGAGAGAGCCCAGTGCTGGTTTTGGGTTGTTGTTTTTTCTCTCTTCTTGGGGAATCTGTTGAGGGAGGGTGCGCGGATTCAAGCCGCCACGCCCTGCGTCGCGTCGCGCTGTCCTGTGGCCGATGGCTTCGTTGCCGGTCTCTCCTTTCCGTAGCGACATGCGAAGCACCACGCAAGAGGCCGGCAGAACGACGCGAGCGCGTCCGGCCAAGTCACCTCGCCTCGTCCTACAGAACGTCGAGACGTCCCCTCCGCTCCGAGGGACGCCGTCGGAGAGAGGTGGCGCCCGGGTTGGGGTCCTTACGCAGCTCTCACGAAGCCGGTGTGGAGCTGGTGGCCTCGGCCATCGCTCGGTGGGGTTGGTTGCGTCGCGTTGGCGCTCGGCTTCGACAATGAGCCAAGATTAAACTTGTAGACCGCCAGCGTACGAGGGATCCATGGCCTTGGAGGTCTCCTCCAACCTTCGTGATTCGATGATTCAACGATTCTGGGATTCTCTGAGGGAACTGGGGAAGAGGAGGCTGAGGGGGGACCTCCTCGCTCTCAGCACCCACCTGAAGGGAGGTGGTAACAAGGTGGGTGCTGGGCTCTTCTCCCAGGGAACCAGCGATGGGACAAGAACCGGCCTCAGGTTGCATCAGAGGAGGTTCAGGTTGGATATTGGGAGAAATTCCTTCACTGAAGGAGTGGTCAAGGCTTGGCCCAGGCTGCCCAGGGTGGTGGTGGTGGGGTCCCCATCCCTGCAGGGGTTCAAACCACGTGTAGACGTGGCCCTTGGGGACCTGGTTGAGCAGCCATGGTGGGGTTGGGTTGATGATGGCCTCGATGACCTCGGAGGTCGTTAACGACTCGACGACCCTACGAGATGGAGCCCCCTTGGTCACCGCCCTGCGCCCATTACCGCCCCCTTCGTCCCCAGTTCCCGTGGCGTGGGGGAGGGGGGGATTCCCCCGTCGTGTGGTCACATGGCGATGGGGGAGGGCGTCCCCTCGGTGACCTCCGCATCCCCCCCCAGCCCCACGCCGCCGCCCCCGGCCCCCCTCCTGGCTGGGTTTGGGGGTCTCCTCCTCGTCCCAGTTCGTACTGGGAGGTCCTGTGACGGGCTTTGCTAACGAGCCTCCAGGCTAACGAGCCTCCAGGCAATCAGCCCACGGTACGGCATGGCAGCATGCGGCATC